TAGGATTGCCCAACCTTCCTTCCGAGGAGTGGCTGGTGGGTTTGAACCGCCAGCCTTCTGGTTAGCAGTCAAGTGCCTTAGGCACTATGCTACCAGAGCTTCCAAGCAGCTGAATATTTTAACCACTGAGCCAATCAATAAACAAAAATACACTGGGATGCATATTCACAGGATTCCTGTTGTTCCTGTTAGAGGCAAACTAACTGTGACATTTTGGATTTATATTTCCTCCATTATTGACTCTTTTAAAATGGACTGCATAATCTATGTCTGTATCACATTTCAAAGGACTTGCTAATGTGTTTATAAAAACAGGTAACGGGTAGAGTCAAGATGCCAACCAAATCAAGTTTTGAACTTCTCTAAGCCTAAGAAAATTCTGCATTTATATCTCAATGAAAACTCTAGCAGATTCTATTTTTTGCCACATTTGGACCCTTACCTGGTAGAGCTCTTCCAGGTTGTATTTAATGGAGGTACTACTTTGTATGGCTTTTACTGCCTCATGAAGCTTCTGCCATGTGTCCTGAGTGTAATTATCAGGCAGTTTAGGTCGGTCTGTAAATCCAGATAGAAAATCAGTGGAGAATGGCAGCCATGCAAGTCATGCATCTTTAAAATATACTACAAGCACTTAAAAGATAAATAAAAAAGACACAGAAATCAAGTTTCCCAAATACAAAAGTATTATAAACTACTTAGGTTACAGAATATGCTACCATAATATCTTTGTTTCAGTATTCAGTACTGATATTTAGGTAGGATAAATGTCACAAAAAATATACAAACCTTAGTTTCCTTAACAAGTTGATTATTAGAAATATATAAACATGGAATAGTAAAGCTCTACACAATTTTAAATAGATTTAAATTATTCAATGTTGGGAGGAAGGTAAGGAAAAAGCTTGTAATTATATATACCTGGATCAAAGATGCTTACTTTGAGATATTATCCAAGACAGAGCTGAAAGAAGTGAAGGAAGTAACAAAAAGCAGTGTGAGGAGCTTCAGTAGTTGCTACTTATTCTGGTTCAGCTGTGCGAATCAAGATACTTTATTCGATCTAATTTATGATTTTTCTATCAACTGCATAGAGTAATAAGAAAAAAACTGCTACAAATAAAACTTGATAACACTGTAGTCTAAATCTCCAAAATCATATTGTCAGGTAAAGTATAAGAAGTCTGTGGATACACAATTATTGGATAATCCTTATTTCTGAAGCGTTTTAGGTCCTCAGGCAGCCCGTGCTAACCTACAGCAAGGTTGCAGATTTGTGCCTAGCAGGATCAGGTTAAAATGCCGACTCATCGGGCCTCTTTATACCTTAAGGAAGAGATATATTGTTTTATAACTTTGCAGGAGATTTAAAACCTTCCTCTCTCTGTACTGTCAAGCTGCACAAGGTCTAAAAGTGGCTGGTAGGTGGACCAAAGTGATGCTGAAGTGTGAAAGCAATTTCATAAATGACTATAGATGAGAAAGAAAACTAGCGAGGAAGAGACAGAAAGCTGATGGGTGGTCTGCAAGCGCCCCTAGAGGCAGACGGCGGCGAGAAGCAGTGTAGAACCTTCAAGGTCCGCGGCGACTCTCTACCCTCCGCCCCGCACAGCCCAACGCAGGCGAGGTCGGGGCAGGTCAGCGCGGCGCGTGCGCAGGGCGGGCCGCCCGCGCCCCTTCCCCATTGGTCGTCACCGCTCCGACGTCCCCGCAGAGCAGCCGAACAAACCAGCCTCACCGGCGGGGGGCGCAGGAAGTCGTTTCCACCGCCCCTTCCTCCCGGGATGTGCGCTGCCGGCCGCCGCCTCGCGCCCTCGGCCGCCCCAGCGGGACGTATTGGTTCAGCCACCTTGTTCCCGCGGGTCCCCGGGTGCCGCGCGAGGCAGGCCCGTCCCGAGGCCGTTTCAGCTCCCCCACCCTTCCCCCACAGCCAGGCGCAATCGCCTTCCAGCACCTACCTCTGAAATTTTTTATCACTAATTTCTTTGAGCCGCTGCCGCTTCCAGGTTTTGTGGTGACAGCGGCAGCTGCTGCGAGGGAAGCAGGTTTCGTGAGGCCATTGGTGTGTCCAACGAGAGCCGAAAAGTTCCCCTTCTTGGGGGTTTCGTCTGCCATGTCTACTGCTGAGAAAACAAACCGGTGGCGGCCGCTCCGCCCCACCCCCACCCTTGGCCTGTTCCCTCCTCCAGTCGCGGCCCGGGCCGAGCTTCCTCCTCCTCCTTCCCCCGCGGTCTGCTCTCCCCGCCTCCTCCGCCCCCGCCCGATGCCCCGGCCCCCCTCCGGAGGTGAGAGCTTGGCCTTGCCGGCAGGGCGAGGACCAAACAGAGCCGCGGGAGTCTCCTCCGAGAGCGCGCTCCGGGGGAGTCTGCGGTGGGAGAGGGGAGCTGCTCTGCTCGTCCCTCGTCAGCCCTCCTTTCTTTCTCAGATAAAAGTTATCTCTGCGCCCGCACAGCCGCTTGGCTGGAAACCTGCGCCCGTGCGGTGTAAACACTGCCGCCGGCCGGAGCCGGAACCCGGTCTCCTCTCCGCCCCCACTGGCGGCCTCAACTTTCCTGGGCCCGCCCTCTCCCCTCAGCCCGGCTCCTCGGGACTCCGCCTCGGGAAGTGAGACGGCGACTAAAAGGGGCCAGTCCCGCGCGCGTCCGCACGAGCCGCGGTGGCTGCCGTCCTCGGTGGCACAGCCTGTCCTTCCACGAGCTTGCTGTCAACCGCCAACTCTCAGGCCCTTGCTATTGTTCTCAAGTCCCTTCTCTTCCGTCACCCGCCCCCATAGCTCAGGTGTCCTCAACTCGGGGCCGACTTTTAATGTCTGTCTCCATCTCAATCTGTGTTACTAGGTGTCACTTGGCTTGCAGAAGCTTTGAAGGCTGCGAGATGAGGGGCTCTGGAGCGATAAAACACGGGACAGAGAGAGACCCTCACGGATCCCCGTGTTATGGGCTGTCGGGGTCACGCTCCTAGCGTGAGGGGCACTGGCCACTCCCACAGCGCGTGCGCGGCCCCGAACGCTCAAGTACCAGGTGCTGGGAGTGGACCAGGGCATCCCGAAGGTTTGTGAACAAGACCCTGTCCCAATCGACTGTTCGATTGAAAAAATAAGCAAGAGCGGAGGAGTCGAGCTGTGGCTGTGCCATGAGGTTGTTCTAAATCCCAAATCTCAGCTCCCAAAAGACTAACCATGATAACCCCTTTTCTCCTCCCGTAATCTCTTGTCCACCACATGCCGGGTGGAATCAAACAAAAAACTGAGAACCTGAGGAAGCTTCCTAGCTGAGAGATGGCAAGGGAAAATCCAGCAGAAAGACAGCCTTCCTCAGCCCATTTTTTCCGCTGTCTCCCCCGTATGGGTGGTCTTGCAATCCCAGCGCGTTGACAAGCCAGCCCGGAGTCTCGGCCCCCCGCGGGAATTCCGCCTCCGGAGCGAATGGCATAGAGAAGGCGTGGCCACGCCACCTGGGAGCTCTAGGGCTGGGTCCCCTACCACGGGCCGGAAGTGGCGTCAGCGCGCAGGCGGAATTGGGAGCTCAGCTTGTGTTACCGGAGACCCTGTGGTGGACCCCGGCTGAGCACTTCATGGCGCACATTACTATTAACCAGTACCTGCAGCAGGTAATTTTTTCTCTGGGAAAGGACCTGTGGTGATGCTTAGGACATTAGCCTTCGGCTGGTGTTACCGTTGTATTCCATCTTTTACTTCGTTCTCTTGAGGTCTGTTACCGCTTCCCTACTCGTCATCGCTCCTTTCTCTGTCCGAGATCTACTGATGGGTGGCAGTAACACGCATATTCTGAAAGGAATTCAAAGCAGGAATCGACAGTTTTATAAAGTTGTGCTTTAAAAAGCATAAAAACGACAAGGCTGAGAGTTAGGACCTATGGTAGCCAGACACAGCTTCCCTATCTGCTACCTTATCATAGGCAAGTCACTTAATGTTTGCTTAATATTTCTGATCTCTTGTTTGCAAGATGAGAATTAATAATGATTCAAGTAGATCCACTTATAGTATAAGTGTACTGGCAGTTCAAGGATGAACCAAACGGTTGCTGCTCTCTATTTAGGGACAGGAGGAGCCGAGGTGGGAGAGGAGGTGTGGGTTCTTGTGGATCGCGAAGAGCCTGTAAGCCACGCTAAGGGGTTTGAGTTTAGCCATTGGGCAGCCGTTTAACAGTCTTAACCAGGGCTTTGATTTAATACGATTTTTGTTTCAGAAAGGCATTGGTGGAAATGTGAAGTGATGAATTTGAGGTAATTAAAATAGGAGAGGGGGCTAGCAACTATGATATTATTATTGTACTACTAGTGTTACTCAATATTTATTCATAGCTACTACCATACAGTGCCGGTAAAATTTGTGTCCAAAGAGCTCTGGTGGCGCACTTAGGTTCTGGCTGCGAACGGAAAGTTTGGCAGTTCAAATGCATCAGCCCACAGAAAGACCCTGTGATCTGCTGCTGTCGGGCAATTCTACTGTTACATGAGCTCCCTGTGAATCGTCGACGCTATGGCACCTAATAACAACAACGGAATTTGTTTCACAGGTTTTCTCCATACATCCTATAAATGGTAGAAGTACAGTTAACAACACAGCGATCTCAAGAATCAGAGCTGGCATTCTTTTCACAAAACTATGCAGAACTAGAGCAGTGATAACAAGGATAGGGAAGAGAAAGAGTAGTAGATTTAAGTCATACTTGAAGGAAATGTTACTAAACCTTGGTGACTAACAATGTGTGTGTTGAGAGAGGAGGAGTGCGGTATATAGTAAGTTACCTGGTATGGCTTTTCTAGCCATAAGTCTTTGTAAACTCAGTAGTGGAATTTGCTGGGAGCAACTGAGGAGCTCCTGATTGTAAATATTACCCACCTGGAATATTTCTGTTGGGCGTGACACAAAGCAATGTTCTGGAAAGTTCTTCTCTCTCAGGTGCTTAGAATTCTGATGTTATGATTGGTTAGTTTGGCCACTCCGCTGGGCTCAAAAGGAGGCCTCCTAGAGGCAGAAGTCTCTCTCTCTGACTGCTGGCTGAGAAGGATGTGCTGCTGAGAGAAACACACTCCTGAGAGACACTTGCTCCTGAGAGGCACACACTCCTGGAAAAGAGATGCAAGAGACACTCATTGCTGAGAAAGACACTGAGAGACCCACACTGCTGGGAGAGAGACTGAGAGAGACTGTTGGCTGAGAGACAGTGGGCTGAGAGAGACTGAGCATTTTTCCTGACCTTGAATTGTAGCCTGGTGCTTCCCTAATAAAACCCGTTAATCTGTGAGTTCTGTGCGGCCACTGCAGTGAATTATTGAACCAAACAGAAAGGTGGTGAGTGCTGTGGGAGGAACAGTTGGTTTCAGGGTTGGTGAAAGGGCTGGAGGGAGGCAGCATGCCTGGCTTTGCAAGAATAGGCCTTGGGCTACTGATGGTGATTCTGTCTTCCTCTTTTGTGGTTAGAGGAGGTCAGAAGATGTGGCCTCCCTGCCCCTTTAGCAGGGAGTCAAGAGTGATTCCCAACTTGGGCAGTGGATAAGTAGAACAGATTTGGAGGGAAAAAAATTTAGTTTTGGACATATTGAGTATGAGGTGTCTGGGCAGCCAGGTAAAGATAGCTAGCTGGCTGTTGAATGTAGTCTGACATGATTGGGCCCAGAAGATTGCTTTGTTAATTGAGAGAGTTGATTAAAGTTGAAACCATGAAAAAATATAACTCACTGCTGTGGAGTTGATTCTGTCTCATGGCAATTCTATAGGATGGAGTAGAGTGGCCCCATAGGGTTTCTAAGGCTATAATCTTTACAAAAGCAAACTGCCAAATCTTTCTCTCATGGGAAAAGACAGATACATGTTTTTATTTTAATTTATAATGTACATCCAGGATCTCCTAAACTAGTCCCCCTCCGAGAAGTTGACAATGGTAGCCACGCAACATCTAGTTCCTTTGGTCTCATGGTCATTTAGGCTGAGGATCACATGGTCTACTAATCCCTTGGACTAATTGTTTTCATGTGTCTTTGGTTTTCTTCATACTTCTTTGTTCTGGATGAGGAGAGACCCATTGTTGCATCTAGATGGGCGCTTGCAAGCTTTTAAGACCCCAGTTGCTACTCACCAAAGTAGGATGTAGAACAGTGTTTTCATGTAGTATATTATGCCAATTAAGCTTGATGTCCCCTGCGACCATGGTCCCAAGCCCACAGATCCAACTCCTTGCTCCCTCAGGTAGCTGGCTGTGGCCAGGAAGTCACCACAATCCTGTCCTTTGTAAGCTCTGCTATACACCTGGACATTCTTAATACCAGATGCAAATATGCTTGTAGGAACATCATCTGCTAAACTGGAGAAAGAAGGGACAGTCTGCTTCTGTAAAGATCACAGTCATGGAAACTCAACAGGGCAGTTCTACTTTGTCCTGTAGGGTTGCTGTGAATCAGAATTGATTAGATGGCAATTTTTAAAATTATTATTTATTATTCCATTGTATACATGTATAATGTTTATATTGTATATGTATTTATTGATGGACATTTAGGTTGTTTCCATCTTTAGCTATTCCTTACACTTTTTTTTTTAAAGTATAAATTCTTTTTTGTGGCCCTTTAAAATCCATTACCATTATTCTTTTGGAAGCTCCTGTTGTCTCACTTTTGGCCACTAAGGGCTTCTCAGCCTGATTTCTTTGATTTTTTTCCTTGTCACCTAGACTTGCTTTCTTTCTCCTTCTTTTTTAATGTGGTAAAAATATATAAAAAAGCCTGAACAAAGGACCTAAAACCCATTGCCATCAAGTCTGTGGAAGCAGAGTACCACATCTTTCTCGCACAGAGCAGTGGTGCGTGTTCTGGTTACCTAGTGCCACTCTGACAGGAACATACCACCAATGGAATAGCTTGAAGAAACAGGAGTTTATTCTCTTACAGTTTGGAGGCTTTAAGTCCAAGTTCAAAGTGCCAGGCTCTAGGGGCTAGGTGAAAGCCCCTCACCTTAGGCTTCAGCTCTGCCTCCTGCTCCCAGCCCACTGAAGCTGGAGGCTTTTCTTCACTCAGCTGCTGGCTGCTGAGGCTGAAAAGCCCATGGTTGACAAGTAATAAAGCACAGTCCCAATGTTACCAAACCACATGGCAGGCCATTGATTCAAGTCCATTGAAAGTCCCAAGGTCAGCAGAGAATGGCAGGCTGCTGAACAGAGACATGGCTACATGCAGGGTTCAAGCATACGATAAGCTAGAGACCAATTCCCCAAGGCTTCTTATATACAGGAAGTAGACCACATTCGCTAAGGCAGCTACTCAGCTGCTCACAGTAGATTCTACCATGGAGTTGATTACCAGTCTCATCATGGGGAATACTACATCCAGCTGCCCAGCCACTCAAAGGGCCTAGCCAAGTTGACACACAAACTTAACTACCACAGTGGGTTTGAACTGCTGACCTTTTAGTTAGCAGTAAGTACTTAACTGTGCTACCAGGGCTCCTTTTTGGACAAGGAAGCACTCTTTAAAAATTTGGGTATGGTAATACTTCACATAAAACCAGCTCCCATCAAGTCAGTTCCAACTCGTAGTGACCATATGTGTGTCAGAGTAGAAATGTGCTCCAGAGTTTTCATTCCTGATTTTTTAGAAGTATATCTCCAGGCCTTTCTTCCAACATGCCTCTGTGTGGACTCTAACAACCAACTTTTGGTTGGCACCTGAGCACATTAACCTTTCTCACCACCCAGGAACTCCAGTAGGTAATATAAACCAAAATTAAACCCACTGCCATCAAGTTGATTTTGACTCATAGCGACCCTTTAGGGCAGAGTAGAACTGCTTCCCCATAGGGTTTCTAAGGCTTTAAATCTTTATGGAAACAGACTACCTCATCTTTCTCCCACAGAGAAAACCAGTAGTGGGTTTGAACTGCTGACCTTTTGGTTATCAGCCAAGTGACTTAACCACAGGACCACCAGAGCTCGTTAGTACATAATATAGCAGCTAAAAAATTTATAGAGTGTGGTATTAGATGATGCTACTAGAAATGCAGGTGTATTAGATAATGGCATAGGAATGTCAAAGACAATTTTTTTTTATAAAGTTATCATATATCTAATATTTAAAATGAATGTGAGGGAGGCCAACATAACATTCCATAATGATGGAATCCTGGGACAGATAGAGTGTAGGTATGACCATTAGTTCCATGCCCCTACAATGAAGGAAGTTTTCAAAAATGAAATGGAACACATAAAGATCAGTGGAACACAAAAGGCATTAGTGAGCTAAAATGGACTTGTTTTGGCCATTTTGAATCAGACAACCATAGGGTCTGCTATGCCAGGTATGACAAATTGAAGAGGGATGGTGTGGCATACCCTTCACCTAGACTTCACCAGATGGAATACACAGGAATCAGATTGACTGCATCTGTGCCAACAGGTGATTGAGAAGTTTGTTATCTTCAGCCAAAACAAGGCCAGGAGCTGATTGTGGAACAGACCATCAGCAGAACATGCTCATATGCATGTTCAAGTTGAAGTTGAAGACAATTAAAACAAGTCCACGAGAGCCAAAATATGGCCTTGATAATATCCCTCCTGAATTTAGAGACTATCTAAAGAATAGATTTGATGCATTGA